AGTCCTTAAAGTGACATCTTTGCTCTTTAACACTTTAAAGAGATCTTTTGCAGCAGGTTTGCCTAATGCATGCAGTACGTCGTTTGATTTTTTGACAATTGCTTCCACGAGTGTTGATTGTGGATCCAAGTAAAATGACATCTTCGACAACTTCAATCTCTTTTCCACTGTAAGCAGTCAGCTCTGCAGTGTCAAAGCGAAGCAAGCAAACCCACAAGCAGGCCATCCTGGACACTCAGGTATGGAAGCCCACCTGAAGGAGGTTGCTGGATAGACCTTCTCTCCAAGCCTCCACAGCCTTCCCGGGTGTGGTCCCCCTCAGCCAACACTACCTGTCACAAACCCTTGGACCCTCTAGCCCTCTATTCTGACCTCCCTGCAGACCTGGTCAGCCTCATCACTGTCCCTAAAATGGTCACCATAGCTGTGACTTCTTTGAGGGCAAAAAATCCAAATGCCCTCGAATCATAAAATGTCACAGTGGAATGGATCATGCAAAGCATTCTAACTGCCCCATTTTATAGTCATGAAAACTGAGGCCCAGAGATCTGAAGTGACCTGCCCCAAATCACAGAATGGTTTTGTGACACTGTGTTCTTTGAAGGCAGGCAGTCCTTGTCCCATTTTGACATTTTCTGAAGTTAGGAAATGACTTTGTATTGCTTTTTTCTTTTTCTTTTTCTTTAGTGACATATGACAGAAACTCAACTTGAAAAGCTCAGAAAAGAAAAGGAGGCTGTTGGTCCATTCCTGGTGTGGGGGTTGGGTAAGGTGGGCTAGGCTCACTTAAATCATGGACTCACAGTGGGGATGAGGTTGTCCTTCCTGAAGAGAAAATGGAGGTGCTGTTATCAGAAGGAGGTGGGAAATGAAAAAGGCTCATCATTTGGAAGCCCCCAATTTTTACACACTGACTCCCTGAACATACAACGGTACCATACGCAGCCTTAAACCCACTCGCCAAGGGAGACAGCTGGCATCTTGTCCAGCTGTTCTGACTGCCCCATTCATGCTCTCTGCCAGATTCTACCTTGTTCACTGTGCTCTCTAGTTCCTAGTATGGTCACTGGGAATCGCTTCTCCTTCTGTTTCTTTGACAAATCTTGTTGTGACTTCTCTGGTGGCAGGGCTGCCATGGATGGCTGTGCTGTTAGTGCACTTAGTAAGCTACCACAGGTCCACCTCAGGGATTGTGGGCTGGGTTCCAGACCCCACAATAAAATGGCTCCCACAAATAATGGATGACAAAGATCTTTTCGTTTCCCAGGGCATATAAAAGTTATGTTCACACTACCCTGTGGTCGATAAAGTATGCACTATCATTCTGGAAGAGTTTGATATGTAATGACAATGACTAAAATGTGCCACAGAGACCTGGAGTGAGCTCACGGTTTTAGAAAAATGGCCCTGACCGACTTGCCTCAGGCCGAGTTCCCTTCAGTTTAAAAAGTCGCAGACTCTGCAAAGAGAAATACAATGAAACACACAAAAACAAGGCACGTCTGTGTTTGCACTCAGAGGCTTTCTGGAAGAGCCAGATGGTTTCCTTTGTGAAAAGAGCTCTCAGAGCTCTGCACTCGCAGCCCTTTCCCAGCTCTCAGCCTAATGGACTCCATGTTGGCCCTTGCTGTGGACCAATGGGGTGGGGAGACAGAGCAGTAGCCCTTGGCCCCCGATCAACTCATTCCCTTCTAGTCAATTCTGACTCACAGTGACCCTATGTTCTGAAGTACCATCGAGTTGGTTCCCACTCATAGCGACCCTGTCTATGGTTTCCGAGGAGCAACTGGTACATATGGGCCTTGCAGTCTTATCCTACAACGCCACACTAGGAGTCCCAAGACTGTAATCTTTAGCGATGCAGACGACCCCATCTTTCTCCCACGGGACAGCTGGTGGGTTCAAACTGCTGACCTTTGAAAGGTTAGCAGCCAAGTGCTGAACCATTGTGCCCTGACCCAGTTTACCTTCTAGGAAATGGCTCTTTACAAAGAGGTAATTTTCACATTCCTGATGTGCTTTGGAGGGGCCCAGAGGATTGGCTCAGCGTCCTCGGCCCCCCATTTCCTCTGTCACTGTTTTTCTTTCCTGCCCAACCCTAATCTCAGTCTGCAGCCTTGAGTTCATCTGCTCCATCCTTGTGAGAACATGGGGGCTCTGGACTCTTCAACATCTTACATCACCGGCTGGAGGCAGAAGGAGGCTCCTTTGGTGAGGCACTTTTCCTCCTCCCACCTCCCCCACATCCAGGGGGACTTGTCTTTTCTTGAAGGACTTGTACAGGCTCAGGCTGCGTAGTGTGCGTAGTGTGAGTGAAACAGTCAAAATTATACTCAGAAAGAGAAGGAGAAATATTGTTTTCCTAATGCAAACTAAAGAAAGTAAAGCTTACAAAATCTTCTTTCCTGGTGGGGGGCAGATGAAAAAAGCTTGCAAACACTGCAGGGCATGAGGCCTGGAGGCGGGGTGTGAGGAATGTGTAAGACACAGCTCCTGATGGAGGAGATGTACCCCTCCAGAGACAAAGAGGGAGGAACAAATAGGAGTTTGTGTTCCGGCACTAAACAGGGTGATGGATGACCTGTGCTGTTCTTTCTGGTCCAGTGCTGTCTTTAAGACCTGACCAAAGGTCATCCTTTCAGTAAAGTCTTCCTTAAGCCCACCTTTATGTGCCTAGAATGCTGGGTCTTGATCCTGGTGTCCTGTTGTAGCACTGTGGGTTAATGCACAGGACTGCAAAGTTGGCTTGAACTGCAAGGTCAGCAGTTCCTCGGAAACCCTCTACAGGGTCGCTATGGGTCGCAACCGTCTGGACAGCACCTAACAACAACATAGTAAATGTGTTGCTCAGGATTCCCGCAGGGTAGTCATGGCTGACCCATGGTCCCCCCACCATGTTTGTGATGGGCTGGTGGTGGTGGTGGTTGTGTGCCGTGAAGTCGGTTCAGACTCATAGTGACCCTGTCTAGGGTTTCCAAGGCTGTACATCTTCTGAGGCTATAAATCTTTACAGGAGCAGAAAGCCTCTTTCTTCTGTGGAATGACTGGTAGTTTCAAACTGCTGACTTTAAGGTTAGCAACCCGACTCGTAGCCACTATGCTACCAGAGCTCCTGCCCATGGGCTATTCCCAGCTAATGCTGGAGCATGACCATCCTGAGGGATGCAGGGCTCTTCTCCAAGCCCAAGCTTGGCAGTTCTGCATCTGCCTGGCTGGAAGGTTCTCAGAATTGTGCTGCCCCAGTAGGGGTCACCTTGACCTATCCGACCTATCCTCTGTCCTTCCCTTCTTCCTTCACAGGTGTGTAGACCTGTAGCACAGTTTGAAGACATTCCTGTCTTCTCTGGCTTCCTTCCCTTCAGCCATTTCTTTCCACCAAACTCTTGTATGTTGTTATGAATAGAATTCTCTTCCCACCAAATAATGTGGTGGGATCCTGTGTTTATCTGTGGATATGATCCTGCTTGGAAAAGCAGTTTCTTTGTTATGTTATTTAGATCATTTCCTAGTAGGATGGGTTCTAAATCTAATCACTTCTTAGTTACAAGGGCAGAACAAGCACAGAGGTGCACACTCATAGTGGAAAGGCAGACCCTACTTAAGGAATGTCTACAAGCCAAGGAATCAAGAAACGCCTGGGGCCACCAACACGGAAGACACCAGCCAAGACCCTGATGTGAACTTTCAGCCTTCAGAACTGTGAGAAAATACATTCCTGTTTTTTAAAGTCATTCACTGGTGGTATTTCCGCTCCAACAGACCTAGGAAACTCAGACAGATGTCCAATCCTGACTTGGCGGTAGAGTTTTGTATGACCCGCATAAGCATGTGTTCGCAGGTTCTGTCTGTCTTTCCCATGAGACTGAGCTCCCCGCGATCAGGGACGAGTTGATCTTGGGCATCATCCCTGCATGTGAGCGTTGGTTGCAGGAATGAGCATTCAGAGAAAGAGCAGAGAGGTGAGGTGGAGAGCCACCGGGGGAGTGAGTGTGGGCCTTGGCCCAGAGGGCAGACGAGCAAAGTGTGTGAAGAGGAAGGGCCTTCACGAAGGGTCATTGGGGGTGGTAGGTAGACTGGGGTAGAGTTGGATGTAAACAGTACAAGGTCTCTCTTCCCCTGCATAGGAGGACTGCCAGGTAGGTAGGAGGCAGGGTAGGGAGGCAGAGAGAAGAGATGAAAACCAGAAAGGGTGATTGGCCAGGCCTGAGGCCTGGACACAGTGCAGACCCCGTGATACCGGAAAGCCAGGGACCCCGCAGATTCCTGTTAGATAGCTCTGTAATGAGGTCAGCATCCAGAGCCGGAGTGAACTCCCCTCTGGGAGTTCCGGTTTCTTTTCTATACTGTGCAGTCCCAATAGGCGTCTGGGTCTGGTTCCCACCACCACACTTCCCAGGCAGATGAAATCTGGTTACAATTCCCGTCAAAGACAGCCCTGATCCCGAAGGAGAGCTACAGCATAAACAACAGGCTATGGGGTTGGAGGGAGGTCTGGGGCTCCCACAGTCGCTGTGGCCAGGTGGGAGTGGGATTTCTCAGTGTCCTATGTCCCAGAGGGGGGCTGCGGTATGAAGGGCAGGGACTGGATTGGGGTAGAGGGCCCTAGAATGAAGAGCTGGCATCAGGGAGAAAGGGGACCCCTTGCATGCGGCCTCAGTTGTGATCCACGAGTTGCTTTGAGTCCTGGCCCTTAGGAGCTGCCTGGTCAGCAACCAATACAGCCAATTCACAGGCACCTGCCTGAGGCTGTGGGCTACAGGGTCCCAGCTGTGCAGCCCTAAGCCCCACCCTGGCTAGCTTATCTCCCAGCTGGTCCTTTCCCTGACGATATCAGGAGAAATGAGATGGAGTCAGAGCTCAAACTCTCACCCATGGGACAGGGCGCAGGTGCAAAGGGACAAAAAGACCTTGGGCCCAGCCAGGTGACCTAAGGCCTGGAGGGTTTAAAAGGCTCCCAGGACCTTCCCCCAGCCTCAGTCTGACCCTCTGCCGGCTGCACGATGCGGGTCCTTGTAGTGTTGTGTGTGCTGTTGGTGGTTGCCTTTGCCAAAGAGGACTTTGTGGGGTAGGGACCTGGAGAGGAGGGGGTGTTCCCATGGAACAGATGGGACACAGAGGGACACATGGAAACACAGCCAGGCAGGCCGGCTGACCAGGTTCCTCTAGGACAGTATGCTGAGTGCTAGAGAAATGGGGTGCTCTGAAGCTCTGAAGGGGAGGTCTCAGGGGTGGTGTGTGTGGGTGCGCGGCGCTACGCTGGGAATGGCTGTGTCTTGGCTGCTCCACTGTGGGGAGAGAAGAGGTGAGGGAACCTAGGATTCCATAGCTATGACCCCCGGCTGGAGACTCTGTTCAGTTCCAGGTGGCCTGCCAGGGAGAGTGTGGAGGCTGGGGGTCCCCTCACTCAGTCTCCGCTTGCCCCACCCAGGCACCAGGTGCTCCGGATCTCTGCCATTGATGAAGTGCAGGTTCAGAAGGTGAATGAGCTGGAAGACCTGGAGCACCTGCAGGTAGAGGAAGAGGAGACCACCTCCCAGCCCCCAACTCCCCCTGCGGACTGATGGCACCTGAGACAGCTTCCCAACCCTCCCCTCCACACCCTCCCCTTCCCCACCCCCGACTGATGGCACCTGAGCTCTGTCTCCCCAGCCTCCCAGAAGGAGACAGGGTGCTGGTTCCTGTGGGGGCTTGATTTAAACTCCCCGTTCCACAATCTTGCTGCCCTGGAACAAGAGTGGCAGGATTGCTCTAGTGCCCCCTAGATCTTCCTGACCTTTTCCGGTTCCCAGGTGTCCCCTTCCCTCTCTGTCCCTGATACTCTGACCCCCCCATCCTAGCCTTCTCCCCCACTGCTCCCCTGTGACATACTCTCTCCTCACAGCTGGACTTCTGGCGTGGGCCGGCCCAGCCGGGCTCCCCCATCGACATCCGTGTGCCCTTCCCCAGTCTGCAGCCCGTCAAGGTCTTCCTGGAGTCTCATGGGATTGAGTATACCACAATGATTGAGGATGTGCAGTCTCTGCTTGATGAAGAGCAGGAGCAGCTCTATGCCTTCCACACACGGGCTAGCTCCACCGACGACTTTAACTATGCCACTTACCACAACCTGGAGGAGGTGAGCCACTGGCTGGCCGAATTTGGGGGGAGAACCGGGGCTGACCTGTGCATACACCCCCTGGGGACCACTGCCTAAAGGACCCACAGCTAGCTGGAGTAACGGGAGCTGCTAAAGGAGACGTCTGCATACCCAGAAGCCATTAAGGTGGTCCTGCCTTCCTCTCCCATCTCAGATCTACGGCTTCATGGACATGCTCGTGGCTGAGAATCCACAGCTCGTCAGCAAGATCCAGATTGGCAACTCCTACGAAGGTCGCCCCATCTATGTTCTGAAGGTAACCCAGGGACACAGGCACCCACTGAGCGCTCACACAGGTGTGTGGGCTCCCGTGGCTCAGCCTGGGTCATGGGGACACACTGATGAATAGACATTTGGGAAAGTGTGAACTTCCATGTTGGCCTAGGTGCATATACACACACACACACACACACACACACACACACACACATACTCACACAACATAGACTGTTATGTGGCACATTACGACAGCTGTTGTGAGTTCTGGTTGTCATATTGGTGACTTTCTTAGTTCCCTACTGCTGCTGTAATGGAAATACCACAAGGTGGGGGAAGGGGAGCATTAACAAACAGACATTTACTTTCTCACAGTTCCGAAGGCTACAAGTTTGAACTAGGGCAGGGATGGGGAACAATTTTTCCTGCCAAAATTTTTAATCTTATTCGCGGGCCATCCAAAATATCAACTGAAAAATTAACCTGCTGTATTTTGGTCAAACATTTAATTAACTCACCCTGTGGCGCTGGGAGATAAAACACTGAACCACAGACTTGGTTTGAACCATAAGGTCAGTGGTTCAAAGTTACCAACAACAGTGTGATGGCTTGGAAGGGCCAGATCCAACGGTTTTGAGGGCCTTACACAGCCCACGGGCCAGACGTTCCCACCCTTGCTCTGGGGGAAGGCGTTCTTTCTGTGTTGGCTCTGGAGGACAGTTCCTGTCACTTTTTAGATCCTGCGTCTTGGCTCCTTGGAGATCTCATGTGGCCTTGGATCTCATGTCCCCATCTTTGCTTACTTCCTCTGTTGCTTGTACAACCATTTTTTCTTTACCTCAAAAAAGATGGGCTTAAAACATACCCCACACTAATATTGCCTCATCAACACAACAAATAAAACCCTTCCCAAATGGGATTATAAACACCCAAACCCAAACCCAACCCAATGCCTTTCAGGCAATTCCTGCTCATAACCACCGGTATAATACAGAGTAGAAGAACTGTCCCATCAGGTTTCCCAGGCTGTAAATCTGTGTCCTGGGGTGGCACTGTGGGCTAATGTGTCAGACTGCAAAGTTGTTTGAACAGCAAGGTCGGTGGTTCAAGCTCACCAGCTGCTCCTTGGAAACCCTATACAACCCTATGGGTTGTAGACGGCACTTAGCAACAGGCCACAGTAGAACTGCCAGTTTCTGAAGCTGTAAACTTTACGGAAGGGAGCTCTGGTAGCGTAGTGGTTACGAATCAGGCTCCTAACCTCAAGGTTGGCAGTTCGAAACTACCAGCCGTTCCGCGGGAGAAAGATAAGGCTTTCTGCTCCTATAAAGATTTACAGCCTTGGAAACCCTGTGCAGGATCACTATGAGTCGGAACCAACTCCACAGTACTTAACAACAACAACAACCTTTATGGAAGTAGACTGCCACATCTTTCTCCCACAGAGCAGCTGGAGGGTTCTGACTACACCACCGTGGTGATTGGTGGTTCTGTGCCCCGTGGAGTTGGTTCCAACTCCTAGTGACCCTGTATAGGGTTCCTCAGGCTGTAAATCTTGATGGTAATAGAAAGTCTCATCTTTCTCCCTTGGAATGGCTGGTAGTTTCGAACAGCCTTACTCATAACCACTACGCTACCAGAGCTCCTTGACTACACTGCCTAAACATTGGTATCAGGGTCAGGATTTGGGGGGCACACAATTCAATCGATAACATGATCTTCCACAAAGAACTCAGTGGGTAGAGGGCAGCGCAGGGTCGGGAAGTCAGGTGAGAGGTTCTGCTGGACCTTATTCCATCATCCCACGTAGTGATGGATCAGCAGCAGGTTCAGTACCTTGCCATCAGAGCAAAGCCTAGCTGACCACAGCCGTTTCTTCTCCTCAGTTCAGCACTGGTGGGAACAACCGTCCCGCTTTCTGGATAGACACAGGCATCCATTCCCGAGAGTGGGTCACCCAGGCCAGTGGGGTCTGGTTTGCAAAGAAGGTAAGTCTGGGATGGTCAGGGTGGGGTAGGACGATTGATATCTAAGGTCCATAGAAGCCCTGGCCCCTCATTTCCCACCCTAAAGCAGTGACCTCAGAGGGGGCTGCGGGGCGGTGTATACATTACCCTAATGTGGCAGACACTGGTCTAGCCCCCTCTGCCTCTCTGACCCCACCAGATTGTGTCGGACTATCAAGTGGATGATCGTCTCACAGACTTTCTCAACAACATGGACATCTTCCTGGAGATCGTCACCAACCCTGATGGCTTTGCTTTCACCCACTCCACGGTACAAGACTTCTTCTATTCTCAAAGAAAACAGGAGTTCCACAAATGACCCACCCCCAATGCTGACTCCCAGTGGTCAAGGGAAGGGACAAACAGACCAGTCCCCTCTACCAAAGCACCTCAACATGGCACCATTGGTGTTTGGGGCAGTAGAATTCTTTCCTGGTGTGGCGCTGTAGGATGAACACAAGACTGCTAACCACAAGGTCGGTGATTCCGACTCACCAGCCGCTCCTTGGAAAACGTAGACAGGGTCATTTTGAGTCAGAACTGACTCGATGGCACTTAACAAAAATTCTTTGTCATGGGGACTGTCCTGTGCATTGTAGGATGTTTAGCAGCATCCTGACCTCTACCTACTAGATTCTAGTAGTACCCCAGGTGACAATCAAAAATGTCTTCAGACATTGCCAGATGTTCCCAGGGGAGTGGTAAAGTTGTCCCTGGTTGAAAATCGCCGTTCTAGACCTTACCTTCCTGAGACTTATATTTTGACAGTAAAGATATTTAAATTGGGCCAGGGCACTTCACACCCCCTTCCCATTCCACCAGGTGGCCCTTCTGGCCCAATGCCATCCCACGGTCTTCTCCACTCTCCACAGACTGCGTGCCCCCTCTGCGAATCCTCCTTACCCACCAGCTAAAAGTGGTCCCTGCTCTTATGCTCTGGATCTGGGTGTTTGTTGTGGCCTTCTGTAGGGAGCTTCCTAGCCTTTCCCAGTCCACACTGCACTCCAGGCAGGAGCCCCAAATGAGTGGAGTGCTGGACACATGGCTGACACTCATCCTATCTTGTTCTGCAGAATCGTTTGTGGCGTAAGACGCGATCTCCATCACCAGGCTCCTCTTGCGTGGGAGTGGACCCCAACAGGAACTGGGATGCTGGCTTTGGAAGTAAGCACTGTAGAATTTGAGGAGCAGATATGGGGCAACCCAGAATGGCTCCTTGCCCTTTGTTCTGTTACTTCTAGCCCCTTTCTGGACCAGCAGTGAAGGGAGGGTGGGCAAAGGCTGCCCTCCAGCTGAAAACCTAACTAGGGTTTTTCTCATATAATGTCTACTCCTTCCTCCTTAAGGATCTCTGGTAGCATAGTGGTTATGAATTGGGCTGCGAACTGCAAGGTCAGCAGTTCGAAACTACCAGCTGTTCCGCGGGAGAATGATGAGGCTTATCTGCTCCTGTAAAGATTTACAGCCTCGGAAACCGTGTTCAGGGTCGCTATGAATCGGCACATAACCACCGCCATCACCTTCCTCCTTGGTCACTTAACTGTACAAACCATGTGGTTGAGGAGCAGACCTCACCTCTGTGGGAATGGTCATCCTCTCTGCCCAAGGAGGGAGGCAGGACCCCAGAGGATAAGTGGTCTGTGGTCTACCTGAATCCACAGGGAGAGCCAGCCCTCCCAAACCCCACCCCACCCCCCAGCCAGGAACGGGAAGCTGGATGCTGCTGTGGGGTGTTGGGAATGCTGATGGCCCCTCTCCTTCCCACAGTGGCCGGAGCCAGCAACAACCCCTGCACAGAGACCTACCATGGCAGGTTTGCCAACTCCGAACCAGAGGTCAAGTCCATTGTAGATTTTGTGACTGCCCACGGAAACATCAAGGCCTTCATCTCCATCCACAGCTACTCTCAGCTCCTCCTCTATCCTTTTGGCTACAAAACAGACCCGGCCCGTGACCAGAGCGAGCTGGTACCTACTGCCAGACTTCTCCCCTACTGTCCCAGGCAGCTTTGGTCAGGCTGGGTTTCACCCACGAGGCCTGCTTTAGGCACAAGTGCCTACAGTCTCCACTCCTGTGGACCCCCAAGGGCTTGGGAAATGCAGACACAGATGGTTGAATCACCCCTGTCACATGGCAGAGTCAGCGGCTAGATTTGGAACTTGTAGTCCTGCCCTTGGAGCTGCGGGGGAAAGGCCGGGGTGACCAAATGGGAGGAAAGTGCTTGGTAGGCATCATACGGGACCAGAAGGTGGCAGGGCTGCCAGGAACCAGGGATTGGTCCCTGTGTGGCCCATCGTTTGCATGCTCTGGGTCACTTATCCAGTGACCAGCCTTTGGTGTCCCTGGTCATGACAAGTGGTCTTGCTTGGCATTTTCTCCAGGATCAGCTGGCCAAGTCTGCAGTGACAGCTCTGGCTTCTCTGTATGGGACCTCGTACAAGTACGGCAGCATCATCCACACCATTTGTAAGTAGTAGCTCTGCAAGGAAGATTGGCTGGCTCTTCCTGCCCAGGGAGTGTCCCTTCTGGGAGGAAGAGACCAAGGGGGCCTAGATCTGTGAGTGTGGTTGAGGAGTACGACCCTGGTTGTGGCTCAGTGGTGTGGAGGGCTGCACTGGGCCTCTTTCTTGATAACCTTCACTCAGACAAATGCCTGGGTTCCTCTGAGAATTTCTCTCCTTTGTTTTGGGGTTAAGTCCAGCTTTACACATGGATGGGGTCACCAGTTCTTCTGGGATTCAACAACAACAATAGTTGTTGTCAAGCTGACCCCAACTCATGGTGACCCCACGTGTGTAAAGTTGAACAATACTTTGGAGGTTTTTCAAGGTTAGGATTTTTTGGAAGCAGATGACCAACTGCCAACCTTTTGGTGAGTAGTCCAGTGCTTAACAATGAACCTGCCACCATAATTAAAGAACCTACCCCATCATTTCCCAGCTTACTTAGAAATGCAGCATGCTGGGAGGGGCATGACGTGAAAGTTGAATTAATGCAACAACTGTCAAGTGTCTCCTCTGAGCAGGCCCCATCTCACATGCTTGAGACATTGTTGTGCATTTATAAGCAAAGATCATGAAACTGACCTGATAGCCGGGGAAGCAGCTGGTAACTTCAAGGAAGTAAAGGATATGTTAGGTGACACATGTGCAGAGAAAAGAACTCGAGCTGGCAGAGGGGTCCAGGGATGGAGGGACTGAGCAGGGAAGGGAATGGGGCTGCAGGGGAGGCCTCACTGAGAGGGGAAGTCTGGGCACGTGTTGTGGGGAATGAGGGAGAAACACCAGTTAGTAAGTGGCTGGTGGGCTTGGGTACAGGAAGGACTCCAGAGAGGCTGCAATCACTGAGGGCCAGAGCTGGGCTAGCTGGTTGGGTCATGGAGGCAGATACTACAGGTCCCAGGGGTGGTAACGAGTGGATCAGCTGACATGAGATGAGAGGACTGCAAGGTAGAAGTGCGGCTCCAGGGACAAGGGCTGGGGTTCAGTTGCATTGATCTCCTCATATACTTCCTGACCCCATGATGTAGGTGGGTGCGGGTGTGGTGCCATCATACCCGAGCATGGCCTTGCTTCTGGACCTTCTTTGGAAATGGCTCTCTACGTTGAGTCCAATGGTTGTGTTTCATTGTGTTTCAAGTTCAAACCCTTGTTCTCGTCCTTTCTCCCTCACCCTGGCCCATTTCGACTGCAAACCTGGGCTGTTTCCTCATAAATAGAATTCACCTCTGTGGAGTCAATTCCGATGCACAGTGAACTTGTAGAGGGTTTTTCTGAAACTGTAAATTTTTATGGGACAGGCAACCTTATCTTTCTCCCATGGAGAAGTTGGTGGATTCGAACCACTGACATTGGGGTTAGCAGCCCAATGCCTAACTCACAGTGCTACCAGGGCTCCTTTTAAAAAAAATAGAAAGGACCTTAAAATTTATTTATTTATTTATTTATTTTAAAGCAGTAACTTCCCATTCTCTCTGCCTCTGGCAACCATTAACCTACTTTCTATCTCTATGCATTGGCCTTTCACTAGATATTTCACACAAATTCCTACAATATCTGTCCTTTTGTGTCAGCCTTGTTTCACTCAGCATTATGTTTTCAAGGTTCACCCATGTTGTGGCATGTAGCAGGACTTCACTTATGAAGTTATGGCTAAATAGCACTCCATTGTAAGGGTAGACCACATTTTGTGTATCCAAACATGTTTACAGGCATTTGGGTTGCTTCTACTATTTGGCTATTTAAGTGGCCTTTTCTTTGACTTTGACCCTTTGCACTTTCCTCTGAAGATCCAAATTATAGAAGAACCAACCCTGGTTTGATTTAGAGACTTAATTCAAGTGGTTGGGGAAGGAGACAGAAGTTTTCTTGTATCCCGTAATGAATGGGAGACCACTGCTGGTCAGCCTCTTTGGGTCTCTTGGGGTTGGACCCTTCAGCAGGAGTTTCTTGAGAGGTCAACAGCAGATGCATAGCAGCTCATGTAAATGTTTCCCAAGTGGTTAACTCTTGTCAACCTCCCTGCTCTTGTCCTTCCCCCAGACCGGGCCAGTGGAGGCACCATTGACTGGACCTACAACCAGGGCATCAAGTACTCCTTCACCTTTGAGCTCCGGGACACTGGGCGCTATGGCTTCCTGCTTCCAGCTGCACAGATCATCCCCACTGCCCAGGAAACATGGCTGGCTCTTCAGGTCATCATGGATTACACCAAGAACCACCTATACTGAGCTGACCCATCAGCATCCTCCTTGCTGGCCCCACCCAGAAAACTAAATAAAATCCGAGTGCTCATGGAACCATCTTTGCATGTGGGATGCATGTGGTGTGTCTGCCTTTCCAAGCTGGGTCAGAAGCGATTGAGTCCCTGCAGCCTTGCTGAAAACGTATGGGTGGTAGGATGAGATGACCCCTACGTTCCCCTGCATTCCCAGGTCTTGTGACACCGTACTCAAGTGGCATCTGTTTGAATTCGACCATCCTACACAGCTCCTCCATGGGGTGATTTATTCATACCTTAGTAATAAGTAGCAGCTATAGCTGTTAGCCAAATGGTGGGCACCCCACAGTGGGGCAAGGAACTCAGCTTCCACAAGAGTCTGGCTAGTTGCATTCATTCATCTATGAAAGCAATAACACAGAGTATGAAATAGAAAAAGTCTGGTGGCCACTGCTGTCCAAGCCAAGTAAAGCAAACCTCTCTAAAACAAAATAGAGTCTCCCTCTCTGAAATTAACTTAGAAGAACACAATTGTGCTTAATTAAGTCATTTACTGATAACTAAGAACACATGTCAATCCCAGGTTGCCATTAACTGCAGTAGATCATGAAGACTTTGCCTTTAGGATGGAAGTAGTTGATTTTTGTTTGCCACATTCCTTCCTGCATCTACTGTACAGCATCTATCCCCACCCACCACCACTCATTTCCATTCCCAGAACTTCCCATGGGGAAGGCTCTCCGGTCATCAACAGCCTCCATGCTCCTAGATTTTCACTTCCTTCCTTTGGATTGATGATGTTGATATTAACATTTGATGGCTAGCACCTGGTCCACAGGGGAGTCCAACTTTTTACAAAGCAATATACTACCTTTTAAGGAGCTCTGGTAGCGTAGTAGTTACGAGGTAGCCTACTAACCTAAAGGTTCAGCAGTTAAAAACTACCAGATGATCCACAGGAGAAAGATGACGCTTTCTGTTCCAGTAAAGATTAGCCTCGGAAACCCTATACAGGGTTGCTATGAGTCATAAACCACTCTAGGGCACATAAACACCACCATCACCATTCTACCTTTTGGTTGTTCTAAATATCTTAGTACATGACCGTGAGGCAGAGTTACTTCCAAAGCCGTCACTGGGGAAATGGGTGGGGTGGGTTCGTAGCTACCCAAGCAGGGAGGCTAGGGATGAGGATAGCCCTCTCCCTTGACCAGCCAGGCCAGGTTTCACAATGTGTCTACTTCCACTGGCTTGCTTTTCCCACACAAAATGTCCTTATGGTCAAAATGCTTTATCTTCTCAAGGGGCCCTGGGAATTTCATCTTGGAGTTTTCTTCCTATCTTGTTTTTGCTACAAAACATATCAAGAAAAAGAATGAGGCCAACCATACATAAAACTAGATACTACATAAAATGGTGTTTTAATCTCACACAAAGATGATCTAAAGATTTAAAAATATTCCCTTCAAGCTTTTTTTTTTTTTTTTTTAAAGTAGAGAGCAGATCATCCAATCTTTTAATAAGGGCTAGTAAGAGAAAAATATTAAGTTAGCAGTGTGGTGCTGTAGGAGGAATATTGGACTGAACCACAAGATCAGTGGTTTAAACCCACCAGCCACTCCTTAGAAACCCTGTATGGGGTTTCTATAAATCAGAATCAGCTCAACTGCATTTAACAACAAAGACATTCTCTGTAAAATAAATAAAGACACGTACACAAAATGACACCAAATTATTCCTCCTCTAAAACTCTCTACTTTGAGAACAAACAAGATGGTAGATTAGGTGGAAGTGCAGTGAAGAGCTCCATCAGCAACAACACAGAATATCATACCAAGCAGTCTCAGGGGATGGTCCCAGAACTCTGAACCACATATAAAGGAATATTTAGAAGGTTGGAAGGCTTACAGCTAGGGGAATTTGTAGCAGAAGCAAGAATTCCATTGCTTTCTAATTCAAGACGCTCAGCTGCTCCCAGAGCTGCCATCTTGGGTTAGACCAAGCAGGGGAAGGATCAGAGCAGCCACGGATGCCTGACAGAAACGGGAGATAAAGGTGTGGACGTTCTTTTCTTTTGGTATCAGTTCATTGGTCCCTTGCTGTCTGCGCACCTCCATTCTAATGACTAGAGGGGGTGCCTGAGTGAGTGGACACCCTACCCCCACCCCCGGAGGGTTCTACTACGCATGTGCACAGATCTCCTAGAAATTAAAAGTGACAGTTTCCACTTAAAACTAAATGGACACAGCTGGCCCTGAACTGTTTATCACTAGGAAAAAGGCCTGAATGGAGATTTTGGAGCAGGACAGGCAGACTAAAAAGGAAATAGGCCAAAAATTAAACCCTGAGTTATGTTACAATAAACAACAGTGGCATCTTGAAATTTCTCAGGAAGAAGAGTGAAAAAGGAAGCCCATCTCGTGATCACATCTACCTGGAGGCAATCAGGAAGCATAAAAAATATCAAAATACACTCCCATCTAAGTATTAAGACAACAGATAACTCCTGAATATGCCCCCAAAATAGAAGCCATTGACCATACCAGCACATGTCCAGAAATGAGATAAGGTGACTGAGGCAAATGAGCTGGTAGTAGACCTGCACTCCATACTGGAAGATGGGCAGGCTTTGGAAATGCCTGAGAAGGAATTCAGAAAAATGATCATAAAATGTATCAAAACACTATACAATGGAGTTGAGAAAAATAAGGAAAAGGCCAGGAAAACACTACAGGAACAATCAAATAAAATAGATACAGCAAGAGAATATCAGAAATGGACAATACACTGAAAGGACAGAGGAGTAGAATTGAAGAGATAAAAGCCAGAACTAGTGAGCTAGAAGATAAATCTCTCAAAATTACTAAGATAGAAGGGAAAATGCAAAAAAGGATGAAAAAAATCTGAAGAAGACCTAAGATACATGTTGGACAACATGAAGAGGAATAATTTAAGAATTATCAGCATTCCGGAACAGGAAGAATCACACCAAGTCCACATAGGAGATAGTTGAAGAGCTTCTGGAAGAAAATTTTCCTAATATCTTGAAAAGCAAATAGATAAGCATTCAAGAAGCTCAACGAACCCCAGGAAGAATAGACCCTAAAAGACAATCACCAAGACATATAATAATCAAGCTCTTCAAAATTCAAAGATAAGAACAAATTCCTGAAAGCAGCTAGGGAAAAGAGAAGTGTAACATACAAAGGCAAGCAAATCAGATTAAACTTGGATCTCTCAACAGAAACCATGCAGGCAAGAAGGCAATGGGGAGACATAGAAAACCTTGAGGTAAAAAAAAAAAAACTGTCAACCAAGAATCCTCTACCCAGCAAAGCTGTCAATCAAATACGATGGTGTAACCAAAACATTCCAGGATAAACAGAAGCTAAGGGATTTTGCCAAAGCCAACCTGCTATGAAAAACATCCTAAAGGAAGTTCTGTGGACTGAGAACCAACAAGAACAGACAACAACTAGAGAATGACATACATGGCAGCATCACTCTGAACTCAATCAACAAATGGAAGAGTCAAGAACAGAATAAAATTAAAAGAACAGAGGATCTAGGAGGTCAGTCTATGATCAAAACAATTACAATGTGAAAGAGGAACAGCGATCCAGTTGGTGAGAAGGTCAGGTAGATTACAGGATAAAGCAGACTGTCTTAAATGAAGGGAAGAATTAATGGAATATAAGGTAACCACAACAATGGTGCTGGGGGTGGGGTTTAGTTTGGGTGTTGGAGAGGGCAATACAATAAGGGGGAGGACGTGGAAGAACAAGATAGATAGGGGAACACTGAGACAGGTTTTCATGTCCTCAGTGGGACAGAGGTAAATAGTGATGCATGCTCAGCCTTGGAATAACAGGGCTCTGGGATCTAGGGATCTAGGTATAGCTTGAAGAGGGTAAATAATACTAAAATGCTTGGTTGTCTTATGAATATTAGTTTCCCTTGCCTACTAGAGAATGACATTTTACAAAATTTTACAATTTTGCCTATTGTAAAATAGACACTTGAGTGGGATATAAAGGAATGTTGGGAAACATGATTAGAGAAAACTTGTAAACCCATCTTCAGTCTATAACTGATTGGAATACCTAAAAGGGGTTCTAGAACTTGCCCAGTGAAATAGGCCCCATGAAAAGCCTTTACAGAGTATAGGACCTTAGGTGGAATCCTGAGTCCCATCCAGAACCTTATGAGGTGGGACATTCCTACTAGAAAGGACAAGCAGATCAGCCTGGAACAGCTAGAGCAACAGAAGATACATCTTCAAAGCAAGATCATCAGGAAAAACCCAAAACAAAAATGTCAGCCTGACTGGCTACTACAAGAATAAGCAAGCTGTTCACCAGGAAGACATCACGGCAAGCAATCAAGTTCCTTCAGGACAAACTCCCCTCTAAGACTGAAACTCAAAAGGAACACACAAACAAGCATGTAGGCTTGCTGGTGACCACATTGGTCTATTGGTGAGTGGAAGAGGGGAAAAGGCAGCAATGAAAAGATGGGCTGAACTCAACCACAGTCCATTGACTCCCGTTGACCTGGAGATGAGAGAGAGACAAGGAAGGGCTGGTTGGTCCAAAGTGTGGTGAGATCTGGGGACACTTGAGCCCATGGACAAGAACATAGCCACATTGGGCTAGAGCTGAGAGTGAAGCATCCAGCTGATATGAAGTGAGGGGAGATGCACAAACTTGCAGACAGTACCCATTTGACCTAGCCTCGATGGCTTGTTAATCAGAACTCGACTGGAGTAAGATTACAAAATATATATAATTTATTTATTTTTAATAAAGGAAACACAGGCAAATTGCTACAATTTGATGAACCTGACTTGTACTCAGAGAGGTAGTTACTCTAAATACCAACAGAGAGTGAAGGAGTTTTCACATCAAGTATCAGTGCTATCCCCTCTGTACACAGGGTAAATAGGGACAGGCAACTTAGACATTGACCAAAATGAGGGAGCGATAAAGGCACAAAGTGACTGGCTTACAA